TCCTAGTAGTAAGGCCAGGAGCCCCTAGTAGCGTCCTTGCTCCTAGTAGTAAGGCCAGGCCCCTAGTAGCGTCCTTGCTCCTAGTAGTAAGGCCAGGACAGGAGCCCCTAGTAGCGTCCTTGCTCCTAGTAGTATGGCCCGGAGCCCCTAGTAGCGTCCTTGCTCCTAGTAGTAAGCCAGGAGCCTCTAGTAGCGTCCTTGCTCCTAGTAGTAAGGCCAGGAGCCCCTAGTAGCGTCCTTGCTCCTATAGTAGTAAGGCCAGGAGCCCTTAGTAGCGTCCTTGCTCCTAGTAGTAAGGCCAGGAGCCCCTAGTAGCGTCCTTGCTCCTAGTAGTAAGGCCAGGAGCCCCTAGTAGCGTCCTTGCTCCTAGTAGTGAGGCGTAGTAAGGCCAGGAGCCCCTAGTAGCGTCCTTGCTCCTAGTAGTAAGGCCAGGACAGGAGCCCCTAGTAGCGTCTTGCTCCTAGTAGTAAGGCCAGGAGCCCCTAGTAGCGTCGTTGCTCCTAGTAGTAAGGCCAGGAGCCCCTAGTAGCGTCCTTGCTCCTAGTAGTAAGGCCTTGCTCCTAGTAGTAAGGCCAGGAGCCCTTAGTAGCGTCCTTACTCCAGGTAGTAAGGCCAGGACAGGAGCCCCTAGTAGCGGCCTTGCTCCTAGTAGTAAGACCAGGACAGGAGCCCCTAGTAGCGTCCTTGCTCCTAGTAGTATGGCCAGGAGCCCCTAGTAGCGTTATTTCTCCTAGTAGCGATGCCAGGAGCCCCTAGTAGCTTCTTGTTCCTAGTAGTGAGACCAGGAGCCCCTAGTAGCGTCCTTGCTCCTAGTAGTAAGGCCAGGAGCCCCTGGTAGCGTCCTTGCTCCTAGCAGTATGGCCAGGAGCCCTAGTAGCGTCCTTGCTCCTAGTAGCGATGCGAGGAGCCCCTAGTAGCTTCTTGTTCCTAGTAGTGAGAAGTGCCAGGCCGCACTGCCAAAACTGGAAAGTGCCCCTGCGGAATCCATGGAGCAGTCTTGGCTTCAGAATACAAGCGAAGAGCTCTGCGGCTCCGCGGCTCCGCTCTGTGTGAAGTTCCTTGGCTGCTTAGGTCAGATGAAAAGCCACGCAAATCAAGGTGGAATGAGTGTCGAAAAGAAGCCAAGCTACCCAGTCCCAACTAGTTTTGTCTGGATTTATCTACCTTCTCTGGTTGGGCCAGGAAGAGTCGTCGTCAAAGAGAAGGCTTTGTCTTTACGTCTTTCTATGACTTTAGCTTTATGACTTTGGGTTGACAAAGTTGCCTTTGCAAGTCGTTCCCCATTACCTCGTCAGGAAAGCTCAGATCGCCCGATGGGCCCGATGGAAAGCTGAGACCTCAGTCCCAAAACGGTGCGGAAAGAAATGCAATCGGACAGCCAAGGTCAGTCCCTTTGCAGGAGGCAATTCTGTGACTTCTGTGTGTTTAGAGTTTAGTGTTGGGCTTAATTATGTCGAGGCTTCAACGTATAGGAAGGCAAGTAGTGAAAAGGAATCAACTAGTAGCGAGTTTACAGAACAATGTTCCACATGAACTGCTTTTCTGACACAGCAATGCTTTCATAGCAAACCTAACTTGCATGTGTGTGCCTGCTCAGAGCCATCTTGACATAAAAAGACGTTGGATCCTAGCTCCGTTTCCACTTTGAAACCTTCAAGCAGTCTTGATTTGCGAGGCAGACCACTGGCAGCTTCAGCAGCACAGCCAGGCATTCTTGTCCGGCCAAGCAGGAAAGTCCCATGGAGTTTGCACTCTGCTGCAGTTGGAGCCTGAAAGCGCAAGCTATGGCAGCTATGGTGCGATCCTGAGCTTTGGAAGTCTGCACCTGCCATGGAAGATGAGAGGCATTTTATCCTAGAAAAGAGTGCAGCTGCTAGAACACTCATTAATTTAATGAATGACTAAAGTCATGAACAGAAGAAGACATTTCTCCAAAAAGAGTTATCAGGTCTCAAGCATTGTCTCGTTCATTGTCGGCAAGTGTTGAAGGATACACTTTTCTTTGCAGATCCGTTCGCTTGCAGCACCGACCATGATATTTCTCATATTGAAAGAATCATACACTCCCATTTCACACCTGAGCCATGATGTTCCAAGGCGGCTTCTACGAATTGCTGTGCTTGCTTTTTGGTCACCCACGAGAATGACCTTTCAAACTGGCAGCATGCCGTGGATCGTTTGGATCTCCGTGTTTGCTTGCACAAAGGCAGATTTGACTGAAAAAGACTTCTCGATTGATTGGCTGGGTGGTTGGCACTCCCAGTATCGACAGGATCATAAAATTATGTCATGGCTGTACAGCGAAGAGCCTGCTGATGCTTGGTACTCCTTCTCTGCTGGAGAAAGTACTCGCCAAGGAGTTTTTGTTGAACTCGGTGCTGGAGATGGTCTTGATAAGAGCAATAGTTTAGCTTTCGAGCAAAAGCTTGGATGGACAGGCCTATTGATTGAGCCTTCTTCGAAGCTATATCAACAGCTACAGCAGAATCGTCCAAATGCAAAGTGTGTTCAAGCTTGTGTGGCAGGAAGGGCAGGCCGCAAAGACTTTGTGGAAGATGGCTTGAATAGTGGAACAACCAGCCGACACATGCTCTCCAATCATTCAACAAAGTCCCTCATGTGCGAATCCTTGAGCTCTTTGATAGATTTGCATTTAGCTGAGCACGGAAGCCATATTGACTACCTATCTCTAGATGTAGAAGGTTCTGAGCTTGAGATCTTGAGAACATTCAACTTCCAGAAACATCAAGTTGACGTTATCAGTGTCGACATCGATGACATTCTTCCAGAAACCATGTACAAACGCCTGTCGAGACTGCTCCGCAGAAATGGCTACCGCTTCCTTGACCGAATTGTAGCAGATGAGATCTGGGTCCGGCAACGAGGATTCTATCCAGACCCGAGCTGCTCTCTGCGCTCGGTGATGTTGCAGACAACTCCTCCATTTGTTCCAAGTATAAGTTGGGGTGGTGTTCGGAGTATGTTGACGCAATTGCTAAAAGCAGGCGGGCCAGATCAGCTAGGCCCTAAAGGCCTACTTGAACGAAATGAAGTAGAAGAGCTTTTCACTGAATGGTCCACTGGCGATTTGACAAGTTGGGAGGAGCAATGTCCGGTAGGAATGCTGTCACTGGGACTTGCCTTCTCTCTAATGCGAGATCGCCAGAATGAAGTGCCGCAAACAAATCCTGATTTGATCCGTGAGCTTCGGCAGCAGACAATTTTCTATTGGAACACACGCCTTGTCGCAATGCTCGATACCATAGACTTTGATGATATCCGGAAGCAGTCTGAAATGGCCGCAGAAGACTTTCGATTTCGTTTGCCCTTGGGAAGATCATGGCATTTGTCGAGCTTCGAGGAAATCCTAGAGTCTGGTTGGCCATTGTTTGGTTTACTTGCTCTTTGCAGCAAGAGGATGGCAATGATCCCACAGCTTTTTGAGCATTTGAATTTCGATCGATTTGAAGAAGTTCGCCCGATCAGCATGCCCCGCATTCGATGCCAGCTCAGCGTGTCCTCACAAATTTCCTTGGATCAAAAAGCACCGTGGGACGCTCCAGGTAAACGGAATCTACGCAAACATTGCTGCTCAATTCCGACACGTGTAACTTGCTTGGCACAGCTGCAAGCTACTTTCATCATATTCGACGTGAACTGAGCAGACTCTTTGCAGAGAAGAAGGAGGGGCATCGCAAATTTGCATCGTTTGACCGCATCGCGAACTGGAGTGCATCTTGTTCGGAGGGTCCACCTTTGAAGCCAAGTTCTTGTCATGAGAAGAGCCTGCATGAGTGTGCTGCGCTTGGTCACGATAGCAAGGCCATTCCTGCGAAATGCATGGCACTTCACCAGTCAGGTGGCATGGCTTCCGGCTTGAGATTGCGGCGGAAGTTTCGCTTTTCTGACAATAGGATGAGCAATTGGCTTGATCAGGGTGAACGGCTTTTCCGTGTGTGGGTCGAACGCCATGGCCTCTATTTTGCCTTATGGTCTGCTGGCCAAATGGAACTGGCGCCTCTGCAAAAGAAGTCAGAGACTGGCGAGGATCGGGAAACAATGTTTGATGTTTTGCATAGTATTCAAGAGCAGCTCTTCCTGGTGGAGGGTTACCCAGTTTACCGTGCTGCGATTTGATGCATCGTGACGTTCTGTGGCACTAGGAGTGTTCGCTTACCCAAAGCTTCCACTGACATCCAAGTCCGGAACAAAAGCGTCTAGCCGCCAGCGTCACAAGTGAGGGAATCTGGAAATCATATGATTTTTCCCTTGCATTTTGCATTTTTCCCGAATGCGTAGCGATTGGTTCTCGATTAACGCTGGGGTCGGGGGTGGAGCCTTGTTCGCGACTCGTTGTCTGAGCGTCCGCAAATGTCCGCAACTGTTCGCAGGTGGAGCGCTATGGCTTGACATTGGGCGAAGCTTTTGGAAAGGGTTTTGGATGGAAGCATGACTTTGGTGGATGGGAGTGTGCTCAGAACGCGTCAAAATCATTCCAAACTTATGGTGTGGTGCAAAATTTGAAGCTAGCATGATCTGATATTGTCACTTTTCGTAACAGGCGCAGAACCTTGTGCGGGTTTTGAGGTGTGGAAGTGCATTTTTCGTGGCAAGCGCAGGGAATCGTGAGGCTGCGCGGTGTGGCGGAGGTCGCATTTCGTGGCAGGCGCGGAGGAAGTCTCGTGCGAAATGCGCGTTTTGGAGACTTTGACATGTGACTTATGGAGGAAGTACGACTTGACGAGTGAATTTTGGAAGAAGTCTCGTGCGAAGTGCTCATTTTGCAGACTTGACGTGTGACTCTCCAAAACGTGACGGTTGACATTTGGAGACTGCAGTGGTGGTGCCCACATGAGTGTCCCACAAGAAGAGTCCTGCAAGAGTGTCCCACAAGAGTGTCCGACAAGAGTGTCGCAAGAGTGTCCCACAAGAGTGTCCGACAAGAGTGTCCCACAAGAGTGTCCTACACAAGTGTTTCACAAGAGTGTCCCACAAGAATGCCATACAAGAGTGTCGCAAAAGAGTGACCCACA